TGTAAAAATAAGTTTCTTCCCACGCACAACGGACGCTAATGTTTTTGTCACTTTTTATGGAATCAAACTCAAAGTAAGGTCAGTACTTCCACGCTTTAAATGCTGCACGCTCATACTCTCTCCCACACTCGATATATGATCCATTGTTGGTCTGCACACAGCTGTTGTCACTAACGGCGCACTCGCTTACGTCACTGTCTTGAGACATTCTCGCAAAAAATCACGGTTTTAGTAACGCAATAACGCAGCGTTCCTACGGGAAAGTAACGGTAATCTAATTACCGTTTTTGCAATAGTAATCCCTTACTTTACTCGTTACTTGAAAAAAGTAATCAGATTACAGTAAGGCGTTACAAGTAACGCGTTACTGCCCATCTCTGGTTCTGACTGAGAGATTTCTGAAAAAATTCAAACGTACAACTCTGCTGTCACTTCCAACATGAATGAAGACAGGAAACTAAACAGCAGTGACTTTTTTTAGGGTTACTGATGTTGGGCTAGCTGGTATATAATGATGTGCTACATGATCACTAGCGACACAGCTATGTTAGCATAACAAAAACACAGTGAAGCTGTAGGATGAACGCTAACTTTTTTCCAGTCGATAAAAGTTAACGTGAGGGTTCCTGATGGTTTGGGACAAATGCAATCGCATGGCAGGATGCTATGAAGGGACCAAACTTCAGTCAGGAGAACAACTGAGATAATCCATCCACAAAACGAGGTTAGTCATTAATATACTGCAACAACATGGGAATAGAGCAGAATTCATTCATTAATGAATCAATGGTACGGAAGTGGAGGAAGCGCAGTTTTTGGCTTTCCTCATATTCCAAAACGTGCTTCGTCTCTTCGCTATTACTGTCACACGGCATAAACTGCAGATGATATTGCTTGCAGCCGTTGCAATGCTTTTGACCAAAACAGGCGCAGCTTGATGACACCATCAACATGCACTATCAGGGTAGAGCGGTATAGTGAAAATCTCTACCATTGGCCAAATTCATATCGTTTCTACCGAATACCATTTATACCGAATATCGTTTATACCGCCCACCCCATAGGACGCGTCCCTTTTCTGTGAAGTCTAGAGGGCATGACGGCAACAGCGCAAACTATATATAAAGTGGGTTTCCAAACAAAAACCCCATTCTTCACTGAAAGAAAAGAACAGGTTAAACTCTAGAGCAGCGGTCCCCAACCACCAGGCCACGGACCGGTCTGTGAGTCGTTTGGTACCGGACCACGAGAGTTGAGGCTCAGGTGGGAAATTGATGGTTTTCAGGGTTTTTATCATTAACTCTGTTTCCCTGGGTCTTTGTAGTTGTGTCTTCTTATTATTATCTTATTTTGAAAGAAATATTTACGCGTTACCATGGTGGCCAGAGAGCAGACAGGAGGATGTTACTCTTAATGTTGCCGCATTTCAGGAGGACGCTGCTAATAAAGTTACACAATTACACAGTTAATTGGCATTTATTATTACATTTATGAAATACCACAGTTTTTGTCTTGGACGTATCATTTTATTTTGTTGTATTTGTTCGCTGCACCTTAAAGGCCGGTCCGTGAAAATCTTGTGTGACATTACACCGGTCCGTGGCGCAAAAAAGGTTGGGGACCGCTGCTCTAGAGTGAAACAACAAAGGTACAATGCCTAGGCAAAGCAATGGCAGAGCACTCCTAAAAAGCTTCTGCTAATCTTTAAACAGCAAAACAAACTAGGCCCCACAAATTTACTGCCATTATCTTCACCACTAGAACAGCAGGAACATATTTCCCGACACTTGGTAGCCAAAACAAAACGTATGCTGTAATGATAGAAAGGTGCTATACAAGTACAGTTTTGCTTATCTACTTAGAGAGTATACTCCATTAGATGTTACAAAGTCATCGATGCTGGGTACTAGAATTTACACAAGCCTTAGAAGAAAACTGAAAATTACTGGAAGCAGCAGCAGTCATGCCAAACTATAATGTGCTGATCACTGTAGTTTGTTCAGTGAGTATGGTTTGATTGAATCGGTTTCCCTGATATAGGAATAGGGAAGGGTTTCAAAGTACCAAAAAAATTAGTTGCTGGTTTTAATTTAAATGTCTTATGAGATCCAAAAGTCCAAGAAAAAATTTATATATATATATATAAAATATATATAAAACAGGTCCGCGGCTCCGAACCATAGTAAAGGGACCTCTGGCTAATACGTCGGGTTCATGTCAGGCTCATAACCGAAAACTAGCTTTACTTTGTTGTCTGGGTCAACTTTGCTAGTGAGAGACAGAGAGACGTTGAAAGACTGCTCCAGCGGAACTTATTGTTTCGGAGGAAAACACGAACACAGTGTACAGTCGAGTCTTAACAGCTTACTTACAGCTGGGCTCGTCAGGCACTCTTCTTGGCTGCAGTGGTTATTATTATATTTACATGCTTCCAGCTCCCGTTTCTGGTCGGTGACAACTCGTACTTTTCCTTTTTCTCCCTCCCTCCCTCGCTCACAGACACATAACAAGTATGGCAGTCCATTCTCCCTGCAGCACGGACGACACTGCCCATGAGGCTACATTCTTTAGGGCTATGCCTGTAACACTAATGCGTGTTTTGTTTGGGTTTCCACCGGTGTGGAATTATCAAAAATAGAGAGGGCATAGCCTAACATATGAAACAGGAAAAGACCAGCGTGTAATCCATTTATTTCAACAAAGTACTGTATTCTGAATACCACCTTTTTAAACGGTAACTGTAACAGAATACAGTTACTCATATTTTGTATTTTAAATACGTAACAGCGGTACATGTATTCCATTACTCCCCAACACTGTTTATAGACATGTCAGCATAGAACAATTAATGTTGGTTTAGTCAACATAGCATAGTTTTTTTTTCTGGTCTTTTTTTTGTTATTGTTGTTGATTTTCAGGTCACTTTGGAGTGATTCATTGGTGCGTCCGCTGTTTTATTTATTACTCTTTATGTCTTATCATTTCTCTTTCTGCACTCAGCAGTATGTTTGATCTGCCTTCAGTCCTGCCCTTTAACTACAAAAACACATAAACACACATACACAACCCAACCAGTCAGTCAGTCAATCAGTCAAACCACGACCACACTGAGGTTTGCCACATGGAAACACATGGTCTGTTTTCCCTGACAGTTGGTTTCAGGGAAAACAGACTAAAATTGGAGGGAGAGGGGGAGAGAGAGAGAGAGGGAGGGAGGGAGAGAGGGAGGGAGGGAGGGAGGGAGAGAGAGAGAGAGAGAGAGAGAGAGAGAGAGGTTTGTGCATTCTTTACCAAAGTTCTCGTGGTTGGCACTGCCCTCTAGTGGTCCAAGCAAAATATTTGTATTTATCAGCTTGTATTTATCTGTTCCCTCTTCTGTTGTTTGTAGCTAATGATATCAGGATTTTCACTTTGATCCCTCAGTGAACAGAGTTCAGACTGGTTAGAGCACTGAGCCTAGCTGAGATCCAGTGGAAAAGGAAATTTGCGAATGATTGGATAGAGTTTTCTGTCTGTCACCGCCAATCCTCAGTCTGCTTTAATCTGTGTTAATCCCAGACTTCATAGTGTCAGTCATCTGCATTGTCTCTGCACTACTAATCTCACCTCTGACCCAGAATCATACTTACAAACACAGACAGGAGCCATTTCAACAGCCACAATTCACGTTACTCATCCATTGCTTACTTACCGGTAGTTAATAATTCAGTTCAATTTAATAAAATTTTATATATACAGCGCCACATCGCAACAGCAGTCACCTCAAGGCAGTAACAAATAAATCAATAAACAAATAAAGGCACATCATGATGGGCGCTAGGACAGTTTATGGCCCACCAAAGTCAATTTTAAAGGTATAACTATGGCTTCACATCTAAATTGAATAAATTCTTGATTATGCTCTTCAATTTTATATTGAAGAGCACAATTTCAGTTTTATGAAATTCAGCTTTGTAGTTTTTTGTGTAATTTTCCTAATCAGCAAACAAGCATTGAACACATTTCACCACTGAGTTGCTTCAAAAGACAGAAAACTCTATCCAATCATTCGCAAATTTCCATTTACCATTCAAAAGAACAAGCTATAAAACATAATGTGATGTGATAACCTGCATTGAGGATCAGGACAATTTTAAAAGCAAAATCATAAAATGTAATATTTTCCTTTTAATTGACTCTTTCTTCTTTTTAATGTAGTCAATCATACATGATAATGTATCCAGTGTTCCCTTGTTCATCAAATTTACATAAAAGCTACTGAAATAATAAAAGTTACTATAATAGAAAATAAAGTCAAGGTAGATCTTAGTTTTGGTTAGAGTTTTGGTTCCTGTATTTGATAGAGCTAGAGTTTTGGTTCCTGTATTTGAATTTGTGTCCAAAAGTGCAGGCAAAAATGGAATATACACTGTAGAATGTGACAATCAATAATACCAAGCCAGCCACACTGTAATGAGTACATTTATTTATTTATTTATTTATTTATTTTATCAGGATCTGAAATGACTGAGGAAATGTAAGCTGTAAACCATCTGCAGAACTCGTGGGTTTAAAAGAGTGCATCACAGCATATTTTTAAAAAGAGAGGTTTTTATCTGTGTGTTTCAGTCTGCAGTTCAGAACCGGAGAACATCCAGGTGGCACCACACAACCTTAGCAGCCTGCTGGTGACATGGGAAAGGCCACGGGCAGTGTATGACTCCAGCATCGACAAGTACTCAGTCAACTACAGACTAGCTAGTACAGAGAATGCTGTCTCATCTGAATATCTGACTGACGGAGACCAGGATGTGGTGAGAAAGCAACCAACAGTTCATAATATAAAAAACATTTTCTCTTAAATTTTGTGATATTTGCCATCCATCCATCCATCCATCCATCCATCCATCCATCCATCCATCTTCTTCCACTGATCAGGGGCCGGGTCATGGGGGGCCAGACAAGGCAGAAAAGCCCAGACCTCCCTCTCCCCTACCACCTCCTCCAGCTTGTCCAAGGGAACACCAAGGCATTCCCAGGCCAACCGAGAGATATAATCTCTCCAGCGTGTCCTGGGTCTGCCCCGGGGCCTCCTCCCAGTGGGGCATACCTGGAACACCTCACCCAGGATGCGCCCAAGAGGCATTCTTGTCAGATGCCCAAACCATCTCAACTGGCTCCTTTCATTGTGGAGGAGCAGTGGGTCTACTCTTAGTCCTTCCCAGATGGCTGAGCTCCTCACCCTATCTCTAAGGGAAAGGCCAGCCAACCTTTGGAGGAAGCCCATTTGTGCTGCTAGTATCCGCACTACCCACAGCTTGTGACTGTAGATGAGGGTAGGGACGTGGATCAACCAGTAAATTGAGAGCTTCGTTTTTACATTCAGCTCTATCTTCACCATAACAGACCAGTACAGCGTCTGCATCACTGCAGCCGCAGCACCAATCCATCTGTTAAACTCTCACTCCCTCATCACTTGTGAACAAGACCCCGAGATTTTAGTTTAATTCACTTGGGGTAGGAAGTTGTCCCTGACCCAAAGTGGGCAATTCACCCTTTTCCGGCTGAGGGCCATGGCCTCAGATTTGGAGGTGCTGATTCTCATTTCCACTGCTTCACACTCTACTGCAAGCTGTTCCAGTGCGAGCTGGAGGCCATCATACATTAAGGCTAACAGAACCGCATCATCTGCAAAAAGCAGAGATGAGATTCTGAGACCACCCAAGTGAAAGCCTCCCTCCACTTGGCTACTTCTAGAAATTCTCTCCATAAAAAAGGGCCTGTTGCAATGGGTCAGACATCCCATACTCCTGAAGCACCTCCCACAGAACACTCTGAAGGACATGGTTGAATGCCTTCTCCAAGTCCACAAAATATATGTAGACTGGTTGGGCAAACTCCCATGCACCCTCAAGTATCGTTGAGAGGGTAAAGAGCTGGTCCAGTGTTCCACGACCAGGACGAAAGCCGCATTATTCCTCCTGTATCCGAGGTTCAACTAAAGGACGGACTCGCCAGCACCATGGCATAGACTTTCCCAAGGAGGCTGAGGGTGTGATCCCCTATAGTTGGAGCACACCCTTCTTAAGTATCCGTCGCATGACAGTTTGCCAGAATTTCTTCCTTTTCCATGGCCTCTCCAAACTCCTCTCACACTGGGTTTTTGCTTTAGTCACTGCCTGAGTCGCGTTCTGCTTGGCCTGTCAGTACCTATCACCTGCCTTTGACGTCCCGAAAGCTAACCAAGCCCAATAGGACTCCTCCTTTAGCCTGGTGGCTCCCTTCACTTCTGGTGTCCCAACATTTGGTTCGGCGGTTACTACCACGACAGGCAGCAACCACCTTACAGCTGCAGCTCAGTGCAGCGGCTTCAGCAGTGGAGGTGCTGAACATGGTCCATTCAGACTCGATGTCCCCAATCTCCCTTGGAACGCTGTTGAAGCTCTGCCTGAGGTGTGAGTTGAAGATCTTGCAGACTGGACCTCTGCCAGGCGTTCCCAGCTCACCCTCATTATACATTTTGGTGCGTCATGTCTGACCAGCATCCTCCCCCCCACCACCTGATCCAACTCACCACCAGGTGGTGATCAGCTCAGCCCCTCTCTTCACCCAAAATATTTCCACAAGTCTGGTGATACGATTACAAAATCGTTTACAAAAATGTTTGTTACAACTGTGGTTTGCACAGGCGTCCAGTAACAAAACACTGCTCAGGTTCAGATCCGGGAGCCCATTCCTTCCAGTCACGCCCCCTCCAGGTCTCACTGTCATTTCTTACATGAGCGTTGAAGTCTCCCAGTAGGACAACAGTCCCCATGTGGAGCACTCTCAAGCACCCAGGGACTCCAAGAAGGCTGGGTACTTTGAAATAAACTGCGCATAAGCGGAGACGACAGTCAGGACCTGTCCTCTGACCTGAAGGTGCAGGGTGCAAGCCCTCTCGTCCAGAAACCCCAACGTACAGGCAACAAGCCGAGGGGATACTAAAATACCCACCCCAGTCTGCTGCCTCTCAGCAAGGGCAACTCTAGACTGAGACAGAGTCTAGGCCCTCACCAGGACCCCAAGCCATGCATTGAGGTGAGCCCGACTATATCTAGCAGGTACCTCTCAACCTCATGCACTAACCCAGACACCAGAGAGGTGACATTCCATGTCCCAATCACTAGTTTTGGTAGTCAGGGTTTGGTCCGACAGGGCCTCTGCTCCTGGCCGCCACCCAAAGCACATTGTACCCGACACCTATGGCACCTCCTGTGGGTAGTGGGCCTGCAGGAGGCCATGTCCCTTTTTCGAACTGTGCCTGGCTGTGCCCCATGGATGCCATTGGGCACCCTCCCCGGGCCTGGCTCCAGTGAGGGGCCCTGGAAGGGTGAACTGTTCCCTTGGACTTATTCGATTCAATTCAGTTTTATTTATATAGTGCCAAATCACAACAACAGTCGCCTCAAGGCGCTTTATATTGTACAGTAGATCCTACAATAATACATACAGAGAAAAACCGAACAATCATATGACCCCCTATGAGCAAGCACTTTGGCGACAGTGGAAAGGAAAAACTCCCTTTTAACAGGAAGAAACCTCCGGCAGAACCAGGCTCAGGGAGGGGCGGGCATCTGCTACGACCGGTGACTTATACTCATGGGGGTCTTTTGAATTCCTCATTGTTTGGTCCCTTACCCAGGACCAATTTGCCATGGGAGACACTACCAAGGGGGACAACATAGCCCCTGGAATCCCTGGAACACACAAACCCCCTCCACCACGTTACGGTAGCAATTCACAGAGGGGTGATATTTTCGCCAATTATATTAACCATTGACCTCTATAAAGCCTGAATAAGCAGCTGTTGCACAAATGATAATCACCGAACCTCTAAGAACTGTGCACTGCTTACTACTACTAAAAACTGTCTTCTCAAAAAGGTGTTCACTAGGCTGCTCAATGTTTTTGGTGTGGCTTTAATGGTAAATAATTCTTAGCCATATTGTTATTTCATAGTCTAGGGAGTATGTTGAAGTTCACCTGTAGGCCAACCCAAAAGTGTCGCCCTGGATTTTATGTTAGACAATAAACTTTGTGTTGAAATAAAAGTTTTATGACACTTCCACAATATGTGCAAGATACTTGCCAAAAGTAAAATGTCTTTTTTGCCAAATGATGAATGTCTGCAACAACTTCTGTGGTGTTTAATCGCAAGGTAGCAAATTAAATAAGTCTTGGACACAGAAAATTTTCAGCATTAATATCATTAGGTGATGCGGTAAGGATGCTTACTTACACTCATTAGACACTTTGTTAGGTGCACCCGTTGAACTGCTAGATAATGCAAATATCTAGTCAACCAAATCACATTGCAAAAGATGAACATTTTCTCAAAACAGAAAATATCCAGAGAATGGCATGTGTTTGGGTGAAAATGCTGTTAATGCCAGAGGTCAGAGGAGAATGGCTAGAATGCTTTGAGCTGATAGGATGGCAACAGTAATTTAGATATCTACTGGTTATAACCAAGGTATGCTTAAGAGTACAGCATGTTGAACTGTGAAGAAGATGTGTTACAGCAGCAACAGAAGAAGGCGACAATAGTTGATGCTGTCAGCTAAGAACAGGAACCTGAGGCTATAACTTGTAGGGGATCACCAAAGTAGGACAGCAACAGCCTGGAAGAATGATGTTTGGTCTAATAAATGTAGATTTCTGCTGCAAAATTTGGATGGCAAAAATCCCAATTTGGTAACAACATGAAAGCTCTTGATACCTGCCATGTATAAAGAGCCAACAAATCTGTGGCAGCTGCATGATGCTGTCATGTCAATATGGATCAAAATATCTAAGAAATATGTATAGGAATTTGTCTACAACAGCGGTCCCCAACCCCTGGGCCACGCACCGGTACCGGACCATGAGTCGTTTGGTACCGGGCACGAGCCTAGTTTTAGGATAGCTGTAACATTCACTTGTACACTGTACTTTGACCATGGTTTAACTCCTTGTGAGTGAAATAAAGACATGCAAATGACTGTAGAGAATGGAAGTAGGTAATCTTGGCACTGATGTGATATTCTTTCACCAGGGTGCAATACTTGATGACCTCTTGGCCAACACCAGTTATATGATCCAGGTTGTGGCGGTGTGCTCCAACGGTCTGTACGGACGTTCAAGCAACCCATTGATGGTTGTCATGCCCATTGACAACCCTGGTAAGAGCAAGCGTGCCCATCACCAGGCATAACCACAAAATCTATTAATTGTGAAATAGTAAGGCTAGTGCAAATTGTGACTTTGTGACAAACCTGCAAGATAGCCAAACCTGTATATTATAAAATTAATTTGTATTGAACCTTTACAATTTGCAAAATAATTGGTTAACACTTAGTAATGTTATTGGTCACATTACTGTTACTAAGTCATCATTTAACCATACTTTAAATATATTCCAGTCACTTTTACATATTATTAATAATTAATAATTTAAATTTAATCTAATAACGTGGATGCATTTTTTATTTCATTCAACATTTTTATTTACTATGGCATTTTATTGTTTTTTTTTTATTTTCATCATTTTCTTTTGCTATTCTCTCTTTACATTTTTCTGTTGTTTTATGGTCATAAATGGAATAAACTGCATTAGAAGATAAAAGCTTATAAATTACCACACACTAACAAGGTCACTTTGTAACGGAAACATCTGGTTTTGGTTGAGGCTAGAGAATTTCTTTTTTCCGTCTAAAAGCGTTTTGTTTAACGTTACTTAACACAAAGACCTGAAGCTGAGGGAAAACAGCTTCAGCCCTTCAAACTAACTAAATTGTTACTGAAATATGATCATTAGGGTGCAATTAATTAACTCTTTTGGTTTCTTACACATTTTCTTTGTAAACAATTTATCCCAAATATCTGTCCTCCCCTAAATCCTGAATAAATATTTCTTGTGTTTTTCCTCATCTCCTTTTCACCCTACCCATTTTACCTTCCCTATGGTTGTACACATGTAACTGACTACATTTGATTTAACACACAAAAACATGTTTCATCTTTTCTGTGTTTTTAACTGTTTCTTTAGATTCTTAAAATATACTCTTCCTGTATTTAGAGTTAAACAATATACTTGGTTTAAAGAGTCATTTTTAGTGTTGCAAAGCTGCCATCTTTGTTTTGCTGTCATCCACATTCACATGGCATCTGTTCTGCTTCCCAAACCTTTTGTTTTTGCAGCCTTTTGTTTAGTGAGGACTGGATTGGCAGTTATAGTGACTTTGTATTTCAGCTGAACTTAATAATAAATAAACCGATATGTGTTCTTACAATCAAAAAGATGAAGTATCCTATTATCCTGTATCTTATTGTAATATTCTTCAATATTCATTTGATTTACATAAGTGAACTTTTCCTAACTTGAGTTTTGGATACATGCTAACATTCTGGCAGTCATAGCTGCCTAGAAATAGTTCTGTCACAAAAAAACATAGAAATCGACATCTTAAAAACACCTTATTATGTTAGTATTAGATTACTACTATTAGATTACTACTTATATTTAAGTAGCATTACCTTATTTTCAATTATATTGTAGGGTCTCTACCTTGTAAAGTGCCTTGAGGCAACTGTTGCTGTGATTTGGCACTATATGAATAAAACTGAATTGATTATGGCATTTACAAGACTGTGAGGAATAACTAACAAGGCAACGTTTTACTCACCTTTAAAATTAGTCACTTTTAAAATTGAAAAATTATTTCAGACCGAGTAAAGTGTATAGCATAACTTTATTACTGGACTGGTTGCGCAGGTCCTATCATGCTACCACACTGGAATTCACTGAGCTCCTGAGAGCAAACCATACATGATTATAGTAGGAATTTTATGATCACCAAATGAAGTACGTTCAAAATACAATTCCTATACAGAAATTTGCAAAAGTGTTATTTATGATCTATAATGATGATATGTGTTCTAGGAAAAAATACTGATATGTATTTCATTTGTAAATGCCATGGTGCTAATGTTGATAAAGTTAACACACACATATCATTTCCCTGAGTCTTCTCCATCAAGCCTGTTTCTTTAAACTTGTAAAACCTCACTTCATGCTTCTCAAACAAGTCTGATCTGGTCCTTGTGGTGTGTCATTTAGCTTCAAACAGGTAAGAGCCACTAGCCCACCATTTACACACCTGCCCCCTTAAATCCCCACTGTGTGCTGTCTCTAAGTTCAGTCAGCTTGTGCAGCATTAGCAGATAACTCTCCTTATGAGTTTGTTTTATTCCTCTTAGGGAACAGGTGGATCCAGTCTGAAAACAAAAGTTTGAGACAATCGGAGTTAAAGAAGTAACTTGAAAGCTTTTTGTTCAGATTCCTTTCTGTAACTTGTCTAGTTTTATAAGAATGAAACAGGAAAAACTACAAGTTGCAAATGCTTCATGTGTTTGTGTCTTTTGGGGATAATTCCTGCATGCAGGTACCCGATATGTTGTCACCATTTGTTTTTTTCATAAATTGTCATTTTATCACATGTAGTTGTCTGAATAATCCTCCTCTTTTTCATTTTCTCCATATGGTTTTTTGTATTGTCCTTTTTTCTATCCCGAGTGACACATTCCCATTCTGATTATTGGTCCTAGAATAACAAAACTAAATGAAAGGATTAATTGTCCAGGAGCTTACCTGTTCTTGTCTGAGATGTTTTCGTCTGTGTTTCCAATTTGTAATGACCTTTGTTACCTATTTCTGCTTTTTCAGCATTTTCTTTCTTTGAACATTATTTTTAATTCTGGAAATTAAAAATAACATGAATATAAGTTGAAGGAAACTTAAAGCCATCCTGAAGAAAATTTAAGCTAGAGTTATTTTGAAATTAAGTGATTTATTCTAGTTCTTGTTTGCATTGTATATAACTAATGTTGCATTCTGTTCCCTTTCTAGAAAATGCACTGGATCCAGCTTCTTATGAATATAGTAATGAGGTAAAAACAAAAATCCTATTTTCCCCATCTCATTGTTTAATTGTAGAATTACTGTTACTTGTCAAAGTCTGTAAACCATACTTTTACCAACAGGTCAAGTATGATCTAGATCTTACCTGGGATGAAATAGGACAAACTAAGGACCACGATCTGGATTGGAGTGCAACAAACTTGCAGAGGACAACAACTTCTGAATCACCTTTTTTGCTTTTGCCTACTATTAGAACTACAACAGTAGAGTCGGGTCACAGGAAAGTTACCAAGGATCCACTTCCTCCTCTTAGAGCCACTCAATCTGGTCAAGTGTTGAGCAATTCTGAAGAGATGCAACAACATAGTACCTCCATGTGGTCACCAGAAATGACCCTGCCACCAGAAACAAAGGGAAGAGCTAACTTCAATGCCAATGCTCTGTTTAATTTAACCAAAACAACCAAAGAAAACTCACTTTATACCACCACTGCTCCTTTACACCGCACGATAAAAATAGATGGTGTTCATGGAGGCATTACCCTAAACGGAAAAGGCAAAATAAAGGGAGGTATAAGTACCACTGCTCCCACAGTCACCACTTCAAAGGCTGATTACATTAATAGAGGATTAAGTCAACAAGATTATTCTGGAAAAGTAACTACCACTACTCCTACAATTACCAGTGCAAAGACCAAAGAAGGTAATGTTTCTCAATCAGGCAACACTGCAACCAATGTCATGTCTCATATAAGTAATGTGAGCAGCACAACGTCGTCTTCTACATCCTTCATCCAAACCAAGACTGATCCACGTTTGGCACACCCAACAAACAAAGACAACACCACTGATAGAAGTCTTTCTACTAAGCCCAGAGGTATTCCAGAGATCCAGACAGAAAGCTCAACTTCCAAACCTTCCTCTTCACCTACCAAAACATCTGTCCAATTAAGCCGCATTCTCGTGCAGACCACAAAGCCACTGTCCAATGGTGAGAGCCTATTTGTGTTCCCCTCAACTTCCTCCTCCTTCACCTCCTCTCCTTTGTGTGACGCCGTGGATTCCAGCTGTGCCTCTTCCACCTGCTTGCATGATCCTACCTCCTCTTGGCCTGTATTGTCTCCCTTGGACTCACAGCTTACTGCTACATCCCTGTCACCTGTCAAAGACCCAGTTTCCCAGGCTTCAGTCTTCACGCTATCTGCCTCTACCCTGCCTTACCTCCCTCACCCCTCACACTCCCTTTCTGGTTGGGCGACTGACCCTGTCTTTCATGGTGTTGGGCTTGATGATACTGATAGCAATGATGATGTGTTGTCTGGATCTTCAAGTAATCCCTCAGTATTTAGCAGTACACCTCCACTCCAAGCACTTCTAGACCCGTCTGCTATTGTTTTCACCACCAAGCTCTCTGAATCTTCCTGGGATCAGTCTCTCTCAGCAGCATCTCTGTCTGTCATCCCCACCCTAGAACCTTCGGTTCATCTGTCTAGTAACCGCTTCCTTTTTGACCCTACCCTGGGATTATCTAGTTCTTTCTCATCTGTTTTTGACAATTCAAGATATGCCACAGGGAAAACAATAGAGACTTTTCTCAAAGAGGGCAGTGGTGACAGGTTTCCATTAGTTAGCGATGTGCATGCCCTGTGTGACTGCTCTTTGGAGCCATCAGCATCCTCCCCTTGGTTGCATTTGTTAAATGTTGAATTGTCCTCCTCAGCCTGGGACTCTATAAGTTTAGAGCTTTACTCAAGTTTGGGCTTCCTTTCAGCCACTCATGTTGACTTTGACAATTTTCTACACTCTTTATCTGTGGTGGGCTCTGATGGTCTGTCCTTAGGTCAGCCACTGTCATCCCGTAGTGCTATCTTGCCTTCATCATCTTCTTCACACTCCCAGGTTCTCCAAGCCACCCAAAGTGACCTGCCAATTTCTGTTGCAGCCACAGCATCTGCCAGCATGGAATCCTGGTTCTCTGTATCATCTGTGCTAACTCCTTCACCCACAGCCTCCCCCACCACTCTCGCTTCAGAGGGACAGGTGATAGACACCAGTACCAGTGCATCTGGCTCAGGCCTGTTCCCCGACTCCCAGGAGGGCATAGATCAGGAGTGGGACATGGTTCAAACTTCAACCTCTGGGGAGAGCATGCTCCCTTACTCGATGAACGTTATTAGCAGTGCTTCCCCATCTAGCTCCTCAGAGGCTGGCCAGAACCCAGACGATCTGGATGAACACTCCTCAGCATTTTATTTTGAAAGTGAGAGTAGCAATGCATTGAGCTTCGAGGTAGGAGACACGACAACGGAAGCAGTAACCTCTGCTTCACATTGGTCGCTAGGTAGGGAGGAGGGGAGCAGCTCAGGGCAGAGTGAAAGCCTCTACGACAACGAGACATCTTCTGACTTCAGTATCTCTGAGCACACAGAAAGGGAGTTGACAGAAGAGGAGCCAGTAGCAGGTAAAACAAAACAAAAAAAAAAGCTGCCAGTGCGCGGGGGACAAAAACTTCACCGCATTTGCAATTTTGCCCTGGAAACTAGGAAACACATGCTTTGTTAGAAAGAATTTTGAACATCCAAAAGACTAATCTACTTCTCTTCATTTGTAAGAGAAGAAAAAGAAAACGTCATTTATAATTTCAGTCTGTTAAATCAAAATAAAGAAAATTCACTTAACTATACAGGCCCCTTAACTATTATGAACCTTTCATCACATTCTTCACTATAATTTCAGATATATTTATCTTAATGGATTGCATCCAGCCATATATTGTTGTTTTTTCAAACTGCATATCAGGGATGTAAATAGCTCCACTTCCATGTGAAGTATTTTTCTTATTTAATATAATGCTAATGGAGCCTCTCTGATGACATGTGAGGCAGTAAGATATTCATGGCCACTAATAAAGAAGAAGATGCGAAAATGCAGGAGCCCTAAACGCTGCACTACATTTGATGACAGAATAAAACCTTTTAAAGAGGCCACACTATCATGAGATAGAGACAGAAAGTTAAAGAATATCCTGACAACAACCAAAATTATTACTGTAATTTAAAAAAAAAAAGATGACATGTGGTCTAGCTTTGGTCATCAAGGTTTAGTGATGCTCAAAAACCCTAAACACTGAAATGCCTTTTCAAATGTTGCTTGACATGGGCACCAGAGGGCAGCAGAGCCGTTTTGATTTTCAAAGTGGTTCACATATCTATATTATCTTTATATTGTCTCAGCTGTGCTATGTATAGGTTGTAAATATGAGTGAAAAGTGATTTAAAGTTGTAGTATTTACAAAGTAAATCAAGTAATAAATAACAGAAAGATTTTTTCCCTTCCTGACAGGCTTTGATTTTTAGTTTATTTAAATGAAATTCACATTGATCTGTTACTTCAAAGTTGCATAATAATAATAATAATTCTTTAAAAAACTTAAAATATCTTTTTTTTGTTGGTTGGATTTTTCTTTTTTTTAAGATTTTCATCCATAAAGCTTTGTTCGTCAAAGTGTCCTTGAAAATACCAAAATTTTATGATTTAAAAAAAAAACGTTTTCACATGGTCTTGTTGTAGAAGGTCTTGGTGTGTTACTGCACTAATAACAACAAAGGCCAAATGTTTGCAAATGGAAAAGAAAAGTAGTGGGTCACTCCTTTTATTTTATTTTTTTAGAGGTAATTTGAGGTCAACTGATCTGTGTTGTATGATGTGTATTGAACATTGCCTTGACTTTTCTTTCAGATAAATTAAAAATAAAGCCTGCCTGGTAGCTAAATATATGTTAGGGGGAAACCTCCAACCTTTTTATTTATATTTGTTAAGAGGGGGTTTTAAGACTGTTGGTTCCTTAAGTCACATATTTGATTTGATTTGATTTTAAATTTTTTGAGTTGAGTCTTCTATTTCAATTTCCTCATTGAATTGACTAATATTTTTCATCCTCTAGTAATTAGTCCAAGGTTTAAAACCGGCATAAAAAGGTGTGCTGGATGAATTATTGGATGAATTGGTTTTACTTTTAAAGCGCACCACAAACTCGATATGAGCTGGTTAACAGGTCTGACCCACTCATTCATGACAGTACAGGGTCAGTCTGTGCAGAAAAGGTCTAGCAAACAGCTTTTCAGTCATGTGTAGTTCACACTATTGTTGTTTTTACAGGCTGTCAGAAAGGATGGTTTAGCGGCTAAATTCAATTCAATTTTATTTATACAACACCAAATTACAACAACAGTCACGTCAAGGCACTTTTATATTTTAAGGTAAATCTTACAATAATACAACAGACAAATGCAAGTGCTTTGGCAACAGTGAGAAGGAAAAACTCCCTTTTAACAGGAAGAAACCTCCCGCAGAGCCAGGCTCAGGGAGGGGCAGCCATCTGCTGCGACCAGTTGAGGTAAGGGGAGCTGCTGAGTGACCTCAGGTTCAGCCATTATAGGTTATGTACTTCAGAATCAGTGATGGACTTTTCATCAAAGGCTTTTGTACCTCCCTGTGTTTCAAATGGTTTGGCAGGTGTTTTTATCGTGATGAATTTTGTATTTGTACAGCACATTAGTCAATTTTGAATGAGGGAGAGCATTGTGTTTTGAGATATAAATGTGTTTTTTTATTCTAAAATAGATATTAGAGGTATGAGAATGTCCAACGTTGTTTCATAAACACTTTGAGTAAGCCAAGAAGAGCTCAGTTACATTTCATTTGCTTCTTTTTTTTCTTGTAAGTCTTCAAATTATTAATTATTCTTCACGTTTTTGGGGTCACCATTAAATTTGTATGTGTTACCTGCCAAGATGATGAAGTACAAAGGGATAGTACTATAAGTTCTAATTATTTTTGATAATAATTTATTTTGCAACAAGTTTGGAAGTTGGTCCACAACTTGTGTTTAATTAATCAGATGTGAAATTTCCATTTGAATCATGTTCCAGTTGAGTGAAATGTTGTTTAGGTCTTCCACAGCGTACATTTCTATCCACTTTTACAGGAAAGATGCACTGTGGGTATTTTTCATATATCATTAAAAATAATTAGTGAAAGCTCACAAAAATAATACCTAACACCTGGAAACAGAAGAGCACAGTGCAAAGAAATCTGTGTAACCTACAATGCTGTATTACCATTTTGCTACGTGCTCTAATGCAGCGGTCCCCGTCCCCTGGGCCACGGACCGGTACTGGTCCATGAGTCGTTTGGTACGGGGCCGCGAGGGTTGAGGCTTGGGTGGGAAATTTACGCTTTTCAGGGTTTTCATTGGTTTTTATCCTTATTTTCTTTATCGTTTTTATCGTTAACTTGGTTTTCCTGGGTCTTTTCCCGTGTGTTATAAATAAATCTCTTTTTTTTTGGTACTGGTTTTGTTTTGTTGTATTTATCCGCGGCACCTTAAAGGCCAGTCCATGAAAATATTGTCACACGTAAACTGGTCCGTGGTGCAAAAATGGTTGGGGACCGCTGCTCTAACATATAAATAAATAAATTACTTATGTATTCACTTAAGTAATTTAAGTACAATGAAAAAAGTCAATACAACCCCACAAGAGAAAGGAAAGCTTGTTTTATTAGTCTTGGAGGTCTCATATTGAAGTTTTGCAAATGTGACATCAGAAAACCCTTTTGATGCTGATTTTTAATTCTTTCTTTTGCATTGGACCATCTATGGTTGTTTTCCTATTTTCTTTCCTCTACTTTTAAATGTTCCATGCTTATATGCTCAAAGTTTCAAATATACTTCAGGCAAAGTTGTTCAATTGAACCAAGTGGGAGAGTAAGTACAGTTTGTTGACAAGACCTGTTTGATAAAATTATGATTTGCTTGACTAAATATGTCTAAATCTGTGGGCTGTGATATATTTTGAAAATGAAAGAGCAGTTAGCAAGCAAGCAGAGGACGTTATTTTTGGATTGGCAGTCGATAGTGTTACATTTGTGGTCCTATGCTTTATCAGTGTATTCTATAAATACAATAATCTGTGTAAAGATATACAGATTTGCTGAAAATGCAGTAAAGTCTGAAGGCAGGTTATAGACTTAAATTTTAACAGGTTTACAAAAAAACCCAAGGCAAAAATGGCCTGTATTTGTATAGCGCTTTACTAGTCCCTAAGGACCCCAAAGCGCTTTACACAACCAGTCATCCACCCATTCACACACACATTCACACACTGGTGATGGCAGCTACATTGTAGCCACAGCCACCCTGGGGCGCACTGACAGAGGCGAGGCTGCCCGACACTGCCACCACCGGCAAGAGCAACAATGCTCTATTTAAGGTTTCACAACATAAATTTACTATAAATTCACTAATCAGTGTACGACCATCTTTTATATATATTTTATGGATAGGAGGTCAGAAATATGGTGGCTTTAGAGACTACATTTTGGATTCTACATGGGACCAATATTTTTATACTTTCTTTTGCATTATTTCCATTGATTCTAGATTGACTTTGACCCTGTGGTTACATTTCAGGCAAAATAAGCAAAAATTTAAATGCATTTGCTGACTGTCACAAAAAAACAAAAACAAAGGAAAAGCTGGTTAATAGTGAAAAACATGTTTGAAATAGCCATATTCTACCTTTTGTTTCACCTAATACTTACAATTTAAATGTATAAAAATACCATGACTATAATGACTTTTTTGTAATTAAAAGTTAACTATATCCAGTTTAAACTGGCACGTTTAAAATATGACCCTGACTGGGTTTGTATGCCACTGGCATATAGTGTTTGTGGCTCTGTTGACCAATTTTATTATACTTCTTGAGCCTTCATCTAAAAAGTAGGTGGGTTTTGACTTTTATTTCTGCTCTCCAGCAGCGTTTTTTTAGCTGCCAACTCTTTTGGTGTTATTTCTCTACAGATGCTAGTAACAGCAGCCACGAGTCGAGAGTTGGTTCAATCAGGGAACAAGAGAGGAAGGCTGTGGTTCCTTTGGCTGTCATCTCCACCCTCACCGTCCTCGGCCTGATTGCTCTCATCTGTGTTCTCGTCTACTGGCGGTAGGTACTGCCGGTAAATCTGCATATAATGGAAAACAGTTTATGCATGCAGGATACATAGTACAATTTTATAATCCCCCATCTATTTAAAATTTACACTTTATGTAGTGAGATTCTTTTAACACATTTACACAGGTGGTTTAGTCCAAAGGTAAGTGAGAGTTGTGAACAATATGGTTAAAACAAAGGCTTTTTTCTGCAGCCTGTTGTGCATTAACCATGAACATGGTGATGTGCAATAGAAGACCACTTCCCACCCAAATTGTGCTCCACGTGAGAATGATCCAGACAACTTGTTATCCATAGGAGGGTCATCCATCGTGGGTAATAATATCATGCAATTATTCTTGTACGTATGGTACAAGATTAACATCAGGAAGATACGTGACATTGGAATATCATTTGAAATGATTGAAAAGTTCATTTTGCCTTTTCCTGTACCAGTTTTATGTCAAAAGTGCATTTTTGTTTACTGAAAATACTGAAAAGCTCTAGCACATTTAGCATCCGACTTATTGTCTAATCCAAATCATCCTAATTTCATGATTTTTGTCACGTTTTCTTTTTCTAAAAGGTGTTAAGAATATATTCCTAGTATCTATTAAAAACACATATGCATAATCCCCATCTCCACTGCCCGCCTTCTAACCCAACTACACGTCACATATATCTTCTGATGATCAACATCAACCCGAAGATTTTCACATTTTTCTGGGAAACCTAATCTCTTCAAACATGGGCTCAATCTTGATCATGCATCGTATTGTGTGTTTTTATTTGTGTTTTGGTGAGCAAATACACACACTTCACAAATAATACCTTCTGTTCATGCTGAATGAAGCCTTTCATCTGTTACTGCAGCTCTCTGTTGATTCACTTTGGATAACCTTCAGAGATGCCATTTTTCTTTATTTATGGAGACATATGAAATGCTCAATATGAAGCAAACTGAATGTTCTTTAAGGATAGTCGTAGTTTTTTGTTTGCATGCTTTGTTTTCTCCTCGTCACAAACCCCAAACTTTTTTTTTGTCTTGTTTTGACAACAAATCTTGAAAATCTTTCTGACCGTGAAATACCCAGCTCCAGAAATCCAATCAAAGACATGCTGTCAAATGCAGTGTAAACATTTTTAGTTATTTTTCACAGAGTACATTTGTCAGCTGCCATGTTGAAGATAAACATATTGCTCTTGTTTGGCAATCAGCTTGTTGTTGTATCCCTAAGACTGAGCAGTGCTAAACTGGTAATAATCTGTAGAGCAGGAGGATTAATCCTTAATAAAGGATGTGCTTTGGCTGCAGTGCTCTGAGCATCACTCAGAGGAGAGCGTCCTGGGAGGGCTGCAGGATCGAAAAGGACATCTGACTGATTATGTCAGATAGAAGGAATCGTATCAGCTTCTTGTAGGGCGAGCAGCAGGAGGTCAGACTGCACTAATCCTCCTGTTGTTGTGTCCTCCTTCACTAACTCACAACACGGTGCTCATTTGGCCACTGCTGCTGTGCATTTGAGATGAAGCAGGGTGAGAGGATTTCGATTGACTACAAAGTTGCAGCAAGGTGAGAGTTGTGCAGCAAATCAGGATATAGCTAAACAGTCTTTAAAGGTTTGGATATGCACAATATTAATATTTATCCTACATCCTGAGTATCTCACAGGATGTGGATGGTAGCTGTTTTCAGTTCAGAGTGTGTGATTATCTGTTAATGTGGTTGTTACTAAGCTGCAGCTCAGTTACTTAATTTAATCTGAGCTTCTCACAAGTTACTATAATCAACATCAGTATATAATCAATATAATTGCATTAAGTAGTTTCTATGGTGTTATATGTATGTCAAAAGTCATGCGGGAGAAAAAAATTATTTAATTGCACGAGTACTAATCGCTACTCGCGCAATTAAATTTGTGTAAATTCAATAATGCCCACATACAACTCAGAAGTCATGCGTTGAAATAAGCAATCAGGTATGCAAGACTGCGTTTGCGTGCGCTTCACGGTCTTACGGTTAGCTCTGTGCTCGAAGCTGAATCCTAATTGCTCCAACCAACTGACTAATTGGAGGGCGGAGCCAAAGGAAAAGTAGCCCTAATATTAAATCCTAGTGTAGCAGTGGAAATTACATTACTGCTAAAGAAATCATTAAAACTAGAGTACTCAAAGAGAAGTTCTGAAGTCTCTGAACTCCTGTTTACATTATCACACACCTTTTAAGATAAAAAAAAATCATAATGAGTTTCTAAGAAAAGGAAAAATAGTTTTTATTCTATCATTCTTAATCAAATACATTTTCCAAAATGTGAACAAATAAGGTGTGCTGTCTTTTTACAACACAACACGACAGTAGTAAGTAGCTCATTTTCTGATCTGAATTAGTGGCCGATAAAACAGTTAAGGTTTTTACTATGATTTTGTGTAGCAACCTAAAGGGTCAAACTACACACCATCCTTGTAGCTGCTGTTTGCTATGTGGGCTAAGTTTTCATACTTTGCGGTCATGTCAGTCCACTACGTAAGAACGAGTTTTACCATGTACCATGTTGTAGATCCTTAAATCTGGTGTCTTGCCCTGGACTTGCAGACCAAAGGGAAAAAGCTATGCATCTGTCTGTTTGCACTGCTAAAATATTTGTACAAAATACTTGTACAATTGTCTTTTTTAAAATTATTTTAGTTTGATAAGTTTATATATTTATTAGTTGATATATTTATATACATCGTTTATAATTGTGTTCATAATAAAAGCAAGAAAAATATTAAAAACTAATTCTACTAGGTGGTTAGATTTGTGGTTATTAGTAAAATTATTATGATTTATAATATTAAATATTAATATAATTAGAATGAAACTTTTTGCAGTTGTGGAAGAAGTATCTATCCCAAATCCTATACTTAGATAAAAGTAGTCATACTACATTCTGTGAAAATAAACTTTTAATGAAGTGCAAATGTTCTGCATTAAAATATGTCAATCTCTATATAATTGCTTGTTTGTTTTTAACCTGTACTGTCAGGCAGGTTTAGCGACAGAATCATGGCCTGAATGCTTTGTTGTGCCAAACACATTTGCTTTTTCCAGGACGAGCGCTGTAGACTCTGGGGTTAATCGTTTTGTTTTTATAAATTGTGTTATTATCTGTGTGGGTATTATGCCAGAGTGGACAGTGGGTGAAGGCCAGGTTGCCGAAAGGCAAGAGGAGAAGGCGGAGGAACTGAAGAAGAAAAGGGACAGAAAGAAAGAGGGGTGGGGGATAATCAACGACCAGTTGGGAGGAGCAGGGAGAGGAACCACCCCCAACCCACCCTCAATAACGCCAGACATGCGTGTGTGCACCGCAAGAAAACTGTTGATTAATTTAACTATGCATTTTTATATTTTTGTCTTCTAGGTGCTGTATGGGGTTTGGGGGTTTTTTGTTTGTTTTTTCTTCTCTTACAGGTGCAGCATTTGGCATCACATTTCTATTTGCACTCTATACTTTTATTATGTTTTTCCTGTTTTCGCCCCCTTCCATTTTTTTTTCTTCTGCTGCCTGTCAACTTAGACAAGGTCATAATATACTATATACTATATTACATATAATCAAATAAATAAAATAACACTAATAGAAAATGATAAATAAACAGATGAAAGAAACACATGAAGAAGAGGAGCCTATAGAGAATTTAGAGAGCTCGTCTTAGAAAAGCAAAATGTGTTTGGCACATTTTTGGATTCAGATCATAATGCTAATTGCAAAACCTGCCAGACAGGACTGAATTAAAAAAAAAAAAAAGGTAAATGGACTGGTTTTTATATAGCACTTCTGTACATAAACACTCAAAGAGACTAGGGGTTGTTGTATCCCCCTCGGATTGCTGCCAGTACATTTAGGCTTCCGCCGCTTAATGAGGACAGGATTTGTTCCCAGGTCATTTGGGTCGGGGAGCAGGTACTGACTGTTGTTTGGCATAAAAGTCCAAGCAACAGTTTAGCCTTCTTGGAGTCCCTGAAACGGGTGCTCAAGCTGCTACACCTCATTACTCTGTTGTCCTACTGGGAGACTTTAACCCTGATATAAGCAATGATAGTAAAACCTGGAGGAGTGTGACTGGCATGCACAGCCTTCCTCATCTGAAACACAGTGGTGTTTTGTTATTGCAAATCACAATTTGTCCATAATGAACACCATGTTTGAACATAATCTGCAAAGGGTGGACCAAAATCATAGTATACATATATGGAGGAGGCATATGGAACTAATCCGTTTAGCTGCAATGCTGCCTAATGTAGTATACAAAGTATTGTAGATCAATTAAATTTGTTGCTTTGGAATGTGTGAATAACCATTCAACTGCCCAATGCTGGGAACTATTGGAAGTCTACGTCAACCACTTGACTACCCTGAATTATGAACCCTCACTGATGCGACGAGACCACTCAAGGACTCTGGCTGACATTAAAAGCAAAATCATTTAAGGGATACGGGTCCTATACTCCTTTCTGCTTATAGCTCCTGTTGACCTAAACTGTGTCATTTAAAAGAAAAAGAGAAATCTTTAATCTCGTAAAGATTCCATTTATCTGGATGCAGTGTTTTCAGTAGGAGAAATACTTTATCCGAGTGAATTAACAATCATGAAGATGATTTTGTGGCTTATTGTTGCAGTGCTACTAGTTTCAGTCATTTTGCATCTGTACTGTTAGGCAAACACTAGCAGTCATCTGAGACTAAAGATTTCCTTACCTTGACTAAGTTGTAGAACAACTATCTTAAGAAAAAAAAACTAGACTGAAGAATTAATATAGAAGTAGAATGAAGTAGAATTAATAAAGTAGAAATTATTCTGTTTGGTTTGGAAACTTGATGCAGGGCTAATCAGACTAGATTAGTGGACAGTGGGGGGCTGGCGTAAAAACCTCTGAGACCTGTTGGGAGATTGTTTTTGTTAGTCAAAGTAGTTTCTCAAAGTATTTGTCATTAATCTCCAGTGTTGGTCAAGTTACTTGAAAAAAGTAATCAG